AGCTCTTTCCTTCAGCCAGTTTTTCTTCAAATAGTTTTTCAATTAGTTTTTCTTCTATAACTGCCTATCTCCTCAGGAGCCATTTCCTTACCTACAGTGTAATCCCTTTAGCATTACTGCTTAACCTTCTCCAGTGTAACTTCTACATTTCCAATTGCTGGAGATACCTGGTATGGAATTCTGTAGTTCATGAGTCAGCTGGTTTTGATTTCCGAGATGAATAATATCTGGTCTGACCAATATGAGCCCAGGAAGATCTTTGGTTTTTACCTTCATCTCATTTTTAGCTTTTATCCCACCTGCCATCTTGCCCTTGCTCCCGTATTTATCATAATCTGTGACACTTCAAACATTCATTTGCTATTGACACCCTACTTAAATTATCTAAATTACCTCTCTGCTTAGCAAACACATTTTTTCTTAGTTCTCCTGTTACTTAATTGTTGTACAGTTGATTCTTGTTTCCTCTGTGAGATCTAACTCAGCTCATATTCTGGCAATTCTCAATTGATCCCTCTACTTCTTGACCTGAAAAACATGGCTTTCCTCTCAAATATTGAAATACCTATGAAAAGCTTCTATCGTTGCATTACAAAGAAAACCAAACGAAACCCAAGAACAACTCTACGTGCTCCAACTATAGTTCACAAAATCTTCAAACTCAGCCAAGTCAAAATCAATTTTTGCTGGGACTCAGTTTAGCATCTCTTTTGCCCAAGGGCTATTTCCCTGCCAAGTTGCTGCTTTTGCTCCCACCCATTTCAACATTCTTCAGACTATTCAAAATTCAAGTATACGTGAATCCAGTCTGCATTTATATAAATATACAGGGTAGGAAAAGAAGTAATACCTCTGATCAAATTCTAATACAACTTGCTTTGAAAAAACAACAGTTCTTTCCACCAGTTCTACCCCTAAGATTTCAGGTAAGTGCGGAAAGGCAGGAAGTGCTACAGAGGCATCTAGAGACATCTGTCTTTGAGACAAGTGGTGGGTTTTCTGCTCTGGCTATAATTAACTTAGCCAGTATTCTTAAGGACCATTCTGCAACCAAAGCACCAATTGTTATAGCCAGAGCTGAGAAATCACTGGAGTGTACTTGCAGCATTCACGGGGCTTAGAAGTTTCCACAAGTACAGTTGTATTTTTTTTTAGAATAGTTGTATAAACAGTAAATCGCCTTTGAACAGGAGAGGTTCTATAACCAGCTCTACGTAATGTTACTGTCAACAGCAGCAATCCCTTCTTTTTGGGGAGTTTGGATGTGATGCGAAAGTTGTGTTCCGTAAAATGGAAACCAGAAAGGTTCCTTACGACAGCAGTTGCCACACCTCACTTAGGTAATCCTGAAGCATACTAAACACTGTAGTTTCTAGCTTCTGTACTACTAGTTTTGCCCTTTAGCCCTGAGCATCCAAATAAGAATCTGTTCAGGGTAATTTTCCAAGATATATTCTGCATTCTAGTCCTTGATTCCTGCAAGGTTTGAACTGAGCAGTAGGCAAGTTTATAGATCAGAACTGCAGTGCAGGAAAACATGTTTGTGCTAAAAGAAAGTGGTAGGAGGGTGAGCTTCTAGGCTGGGCAACAAAGGAAAAGAAGGAAGAAAAAAAAAACAACAAGAGGGGTGAATACATCTGCAGGACAGGTCTAGTCCAGCATCTCTGTTCAGAGAGATCGGGTTGCCCATAAGGAGTTAGCAGCTCTTACAATTACGTTGGCACACCACCTTGGAGAGGTGAGAAGTAACAGCCTGTAGTTGATTTGCCAACAACTGGTGTTTTAGAAGAAGCCTGGATTTTATTAAAGGCCTTGGCTCAGGACAGCAAACAAGTCTGGTTCAAAGCCCGTCTTTAATATCAAGTATCAAGGTTTCTGACTGTCTGAAAGAAAGACTCTTGAAAAGGACTGGGTTCCCTACAGACCACTGAAAAACCATGAGTAAGATTTCTCAATTAGGAATGTAATGCTAATTAGCCTTTTTGGGTCAGCCTGGGTGGGTTGGCTAATTAGCAAAAGTAATATACCCATGTGATTGGCCTGGAGTGTGGGTGAGGTTCCTGGAAGCACCAGGTGATATCTGGTGAAAAAAAGGATGTGTGGGTGGTAAAATCAGGACAGCTGCAGTCACTGACTGGAGAGGGGGATGTACATCTTCAACAGAAAACGCACAAAGGCTTGAAACTTTCAGAACAGTTGAGGTGAGGATTAGCAAGCTTCTATAAAGTTTCTTGAAAGCTTAATTTAGGATAAAATAATTTCTTTGTGAGATGGAGAGATAGGCGGATTGCGTAAGTGCTGATGTTGTCATGTCAAGTCAGTTAGGTGGTGTGTGTGATAAAACCCAAGACCGTTCCAGTGCAAGAACAAATGGCAGGTTTGCTTTGCCCTCAAGGTGTGGAGGAGGCAGAGGCCCTACGGATGTTGTTTTAACATTAACGTAGATGTGAATTTAAATTGCCAGCCTGCGTTTTCAGTTTCTAAATAAAAGATGAATTTTACCTATGTAATCTTTTGTTTTAGTAGAAAAACAGCAACACTCGGCCTCCCCAGCAATCCTGTGCTGCTGGGGTGAACCGCATAGGTTGGTTTATGGCCCTTTGTAAGACCAGGAAGTCTCTCACGTGGTAACCATAGTAATGTTCTGTGTAAAATATTATGCACACTTTCTCACAAAAGTCATATGATCTCTGTGATTCTCCAGCAAGAAACTTCCTGGAGGTCCTGAAGCCCAAGTACTTGTGTTTCGCCTGTGAAGGCACACTCCATGTGCCACACTACACCCCCCAGGAAACACAGCTCTGTAGCAGTGAGCACCCAGGCGCCCTTAGGGCATGCAGAGGAAGGTGCCAGCTGCATCAGAACAATGGTGCTAGAATATGAAAGGAGTTACCTCCTCCAGGCCAACTTTTCAAGGTTTCCACTCCAGGCTAGTTTTCCCAGTATCCAAGGAGTTTCTGATGTAAATGGACTTGAAATGCACATTGCTCCACGCGTAATACAGTGGATACCACAAATATTTCCCTGAAACATGCATAGGATAGAATGTCAGCTTTTACATGTGGTTCAGAAAATTAGAGGAGGGAGAGAAACAAAACAGAGAAGACTTAACCCACACGAAAGCACGTTAAAATTTTCTGGTGGCTGTGTCTTTCCTTACGAAATTCTCTTCTACATATCCTCACCCTTACCATGATGCTCACCAAGAATTAATGGTCAGTTAATAATAAGGATCGGATTTTGCCTCATTTGTTTTGTACCTATCATTTTTACTCCTCATTTGGTCTCCCGAAGGTTGGTAACTGAATAATTATAGTTTTGGACCTGTCCTACGTCCTTTGATTTGTGTAGCCGCAGCAGGCAGAGCAACGTGCAACAGCTGCGTACGCTGGAGTGGTGTTGTCTCGTAACGTTCTGAAAGCGTAACTTCCAGAGTGCTGTGCAGGCATTCACATCACCGAGTAAGATTTATTTCTATAGTTCCAAGATCAAATACAAATGTCAGAAAAAAACCCAGTAAGCTTTGCAAGAAACATGTTTAATTAATTTTAATACATTTACTATGTAATGCATTCTGGGGTTTTTCCCTCTTGACAGATGGCAATTTACTTTCTGGATCCTTAAAGAAAAGCCCAAGCTATTATGTCAAATGATTTAACATATTTCACTTTTCAAAATATTAGAGATGGGCCTAAGACAAAGTTTGGATTCAAATACTAACGTTCCCAGAGGGTGTTGTGCTCCAAGGTTTTGGTTCAGGCCCATCTTTTCCTCTCGACAAGTATACATTTGAAAAGGATACTGCCAAATAAATCTCCTGTTTTGAAAAGTTAAGTATTACATGTGTTTCTAATAACATGTCAGATGGAGTAGCATGAAGTAATTTCAATTATTTTTATTATTTGTCTGTGGTTTTTGCTTCCTTCTTTCATTTTGCTTAGCAAAACAGCTAACCTAGAGTAGTCCATCTCCCTTCCCATTTTCCCATTTACAGTCAGCAAATCAAAGTGAAACTACCACTAGCAAAAAATCCTGCTGTGCTAGTGCTTCCAGACGCAAGTGAAAGTAATTAAAAAGAAATCATTTCTGAAATTACACAAAGGTATCTGTTGAAGTCCATTTGCTGTTCAGTCTATCCTAAAAAAAGACAAAAAAAGCAGAAGCAGTGAGATACAGAAAAGTTGTTCAAGGTGCTAAGGACTGAAGGAGAAAGAGCACTCACAAACAGAGGTAAGATTGGGAAGGCACTCCTTATATCATGATCACGTGCTGCAAAGGGAAAACAATTTCTTCTAAGAACTCAGCTTTGGATTAGTCCAGGATTCATATATCATGTCAGACAGCAACCGAAATAGGAATTGTTATCTGGAATAAATTAAAAGTATATGTTCAGCCCCCACCAATGGAGAGATTTCTAATGTAAATAAAGACAAATTAGTGGAAAATTGGAACTAAGCTACTCTAATTTTTTTTCTCTTCTGTTTTCAAATGTATTTTCCAGAGTGGATCACTAAAGGAGCCAGAGCCAAACAAAATCCCACCTCAGCGACCACCACCTCAAGGTTGTTTACAGTACATTCTCGACTGTAATGGCGTTGCAGTAGGACCAAAACAAGTCCAGGCTACTTAGATTATTGAGACTAAAAGCAAGGGTTAAAGCAAAAATTAAAAAAAAAAAAAAATTAAAACCAAGAAACAAATACACAATCTTAAAAGCAGACGTGCCAGTTTCGTTCGATTTTTGCATTGTTTCAGTGCTGACCTGGACTGTGTTTTTTCTATGCAGTGTCAACTATACCGTCTGGTTGTTTACTTGTTCATGTCTGTGCGTGTAATGCTTACCTACCTTTCTCTGTAAAATTTGTGATTTCAGGGCTGTTGTCAACAGTGTACAAAGAATGTGCCTCTTTAGAGCCCAGTGCAACTGTACATTATGGATGGGTAGACAGTATTTTTTCAGTATTATATATCGTTAAGTAAGATACCACCAAGGTTCTAAAATCTAAATACTTTTGCTTACTCAGTGAGTGTGTGCACACTGTACTCATAGCCTTTATTTTTCTGTGCGTGTGCATGACTAATAGTTAGGCGATCCAGATATATTTTTAAAAGTCTAGATTAGAATTTGCTAGTGAGGCTTTTTATTTATAATTTTATAAAGTTTGTTAACATTTGAGTTTTACTTATACGCAAGTGGAAGTCTAATATTTCAGTGACTCCATAAGATACAGTTCTTCCCAAGGAATATTTAAAATATCTTCTATTTTACATACTGGTATTCATATTTTTAGTAATTCTGCATTAAATTATTAGCTACAAAGCTATGTAAATGGGCCACCTATGTGCAATATCTCAGTGAAAGTGTGAGTATTTAATGTATCCTATTTCAATTAAGTAGTACCTTTTGTTGTCATTCTGAATTAGTAAGCTATGGAGATTTTTAATGAAAACAATGCAAATACTTTCAAAAATCTAATACTTGCCTAAGAGTTACATCCCAGGTTATTTGGTGAGAAGTACGTCAAGGACTGTTAAACTTCCTGTAAGAGCTCATTTTTTTCAAATACTGAGATGCTAGGAGAAGGTAGACCAAGGCACTTTTAACCAGTTAGGGATCTTGCCCTTTGATTAGAATGCAAGACAAAAATGTCAGTGGTTTTCTTTACCAACTCAGGTCTACTATTTTAAACCTAGAATTATTCAGATAGCTATAAAGAAAATTCAGTCCCAGTGTTATCCACATAAATAGGGCTTATAATAATTGCTTGACATCAAACATGCAAAAAGACTCGAGATGCCTGCAACTGCTAGGTTTTCGGTAGGTAAATTGTTTGTGATTTTTGCCAATCACAGTGTAACAATCTATAGATTTTGCCAATCTATAATGTAAGATAATGAGAAATACACAGGCAGGCAGTTAATCCAATTGTGAGAAATCTAGCCTCGAATCACAAGCTACACACTGCTAGCATACCATACAGCTTAGTTGCAAGTGAGCCACAAACCTGTAATTTTCATCTTGAATATGTACAAAGATGAGTAGTGGCCATTAGTTTAGTGCAAACAATTTTGTTTAAAGGGAAAACAGCCTTATGTTCTACTTCTGTTTTCCCTACAAGGAAAAAATTATCAGTGAGAATCATCATTCTCAGTGTTTCTTTTATTTGTACAAGCTGGCTGGTAAGATGAGATTTAAGGTATGCATTATTAGCTATGTAAATGTTTGTGGTAAGTGCTACTGTTTACTACCTATCAGTAAATTACATGAATATTTTGCTTTAGTGATCGGCATTTGTCTGGGTCAGTGATCATTCCAATGATGGCATTGGCTGTTTTGTTCTATATTAAGAAAATTCCACTTAGAATCAGGTTCACAAATCCTTACCTCCAGACACCATAAAAGTGAATCAACCATACTGCCCTGGGGTGGAGAAATGAATCTGATGATTGATTTTATTTAAAGCAGTTGGTATTTTTTTGCATGTAGTGGTACAAGTATTCACAAGTGCTTTTCACACGACATTTGTGAGTTGTGTGTGCAAAGAATAGATGGGTGTTTCAGATAGGATTTCAGCTTGTTGACTGTAAAGGATTTACAAGGGCACACACTATTACTACATACCACAGACAAGAAGCAAGCCAAAATGTCTCTCTGCATGTAAGCATGCTTAGGTGCACTATTGTGGGTAACAGGGAACAGATGTTCTACAGTGTAGGCTTAATGTTCAGTTTTGTTGAGTTATTTTTGGTAAAAGTTTCTTTCATGATTGTTGCCTTTTGTACAACCCAGCTGCGAGAAAGTGAGCAAATGCTGGAAGTGTGACAGCAGTATATCTTTTATGTGAAATATCTTGTACAGCTTAATGTGCAATAAAAGAAAGTTATATCTGTCTTCAGTGTAAAGTTTCTGGCATTCAAGCCTGTATGTACAAGTGGGGGAAAGAAACCATTCTGTTTTTCAGTATTGAGTGAAAGGAGACTAATAAGAAACCATTCTTACTAAGATGTTGCAAGACCATGTTATCACCTTCAAATATTTCCTACAAAAGTGGTTCAAATTAATAAACAATGAAGGCACATTCCTTAACATACAGTACGTGCTATTTATCTTTCTACACCACAACACACTGCTACACCTGTGTTAAAACGTACTGAGGCATTAGTACGTGCTGTTCTCACACACACACACTGGAATCTCATTTAGTAAGTGGAAAAGTTAACTATAACAGCCATTTTTTTAAAAAAGTCGTGTATTGCAACAGCACTTTCAGATATGAAGGTTTTCTTTGAGACCTGAATAGATTAAGTCTTTTACTTGCACTAAAAATCAGTGTGAGACTAGGAGTGCCCACAGCTTCAGGACGTCTAGGTCAGTTGTCCTCTGTACTGTTCACTGTTCAGCAAAGCTCTTCCCGTGTATGAAGCATCATCCAAACGAAGCGCTCAGAATCCACTTTCTTCCCTTCAACTCAGATGTCCTGTGTGCTTTGTCACGCGCGGTTGTAACAGCTCTCAGCCCAGAAAACCGCGTTCAGGCATCTGATGGGAGATGAAAGCAGCCTGCCCACTGATACCTGACACAGCACTATTTCAGTCAGGAAGCAGAAAAAACAACCCTGTATGATGATGTAGCATCTTTCAGCCCCGGATTTCACAATTTAGGTCTCTACTAAAATGCAGTTTCACACTTGATACAGTATTTTGCCAGCATACTTCCCTCTCAGTGGAAAGATCCCCTTGCTAAAAAATTACTAATGACTTATTTGTGTGTTTTGTAATGTTCTTGACATATTTCACTAAGAGGTTAAATAACTTATCAAAAGACTTTAAATCAGCCGGAAAATTTCAGTACAAAGTTGTTTTACTGCTGTAAGAGTGAATTTAAGAGGAATATTACAGAAATTATTCAAAAACTCTGGAGGAACAAAACTGCAATAACTACACAGAAAACAGTAGCTGTATTGCTGAAATAGGTATTACTGGTATGTTCCATTGACTCGCGGCCTCTCCTTGAGCTGGGCCAAAATTATACAGGGTGTAACTCCATTGGTTTGATTTGAAGTCAGTACCGCTCCTGCTGGGATAAATTTCGTACTTAGCAATTTTAAGGATGGATCACAGGGGCTCCAAGCAAGTTACTAATGTACCAACTGTGATTAGTAGTGTTGCCTACATGAAACTGCAGTCCAGATGAATAGATTTTTGCCTCAAAATTAGAATTAATCACATGCAAGGATTATTTTAAAGTGTTGGATATGAAATCTAATAGGAATTCTTTGATACTATAACATTATGAAGTTTTTCTTGTACTGAACCTAGGGGGCCCAGTGCAACCCCAAGGAATGCAATCACAAAGCCAGGAGCCATTGCAGCCACAGCGCATGTACCCCCCTGGGCAGTCAGCAAAGCCCTCAACCTCCCAGCCACAGCGTCCACCTGGACCTACAACTCAGCAACCACGTCCCCAAGCTCAAGGTCCTTCCAGCACCAGATTATCCAAGGAAGCAGAGCCGCAGCCGCAGCCACAGCCTGCTCCACAGCCTGCTCCGCAGCCAGCTCCGCAGCCAACTCCACAACAGAAGCCTCAGTCTCATCCACAACTTAAGTAAGATTTGCTTTACCCATTTTCTTCTCTCCTCGTAACACATTTTGTTGTCGTAACTGTGATTTGGGAGTTGGTCTAATATTTAGGAAAAACGTACGTATGTTCCCAAGCCTAAAATGAATTGACAACATTTCAAAAAGCTTATTCTCTGTTTATGATTACTGAGCCGGTGTCATTGGTCATACCCTAAGCGCTACACAAAATTTCACTTATTGTGCAATTTCTGCCCTGACTAGGTCTGAAAACTCATCATCTTTCTCGTATTTGTTTTCTCCTTTTTAAGTCCCTGACTCATGATCTGGGTGTGCTGTAAGCCTGCACAGAAAAGAGGAAGCCTTATCTATTTAAACTTCTAACCTTGCAGTCACTCAGAAAGCAGATTCCAGTTTCAAAAGGCCTCGAAGCCATCCCAGTGAACCTGCTGGACGGTGGCTGGCCCAACTGCGCTGCTCCGCGGTCGCGCTGCCTTCGTGGCAGTTCTCCCAGGCCCTTTCCAGAGGCGGCTGCCGGACACGCACAGGAAACAGGCCGTAGTTAGCCCAGCGGTGGATAATAATTCCGATAATGACAATGTTTCCCTCGCCTTCCCAGGACAGTGCATTTATTTATTCTGGTTTATAATCGCAAGCCTCAGCGTCACTCCCCCGTTATTTAAATGTACGTAGAGAATAGGGAGGCCAGTTTTCTCGAGCAAGATGGAAGACTAAACCAGTTTGAAACTCAACTTGCGGACTTCTGACGCTGAAGAAAAACGGTTAAGACCGGGTACAGAAGAACAGAACCACATACTGCTCCTCACTTTCTCCCTTTCCTTCAGTCCCTTGTTCAAATCCAGATTCATTTTTCTCTTCTTCAAATGGAACAGGATAGCCTCTATTTAAAGCACAAATGAAGAAATGACAGTTTTTAAGATGCAAGCCGTAATGTGAGTAGGTTTTGGGACTTTCAAGCAGCAGTTTTAGGCCCATACCAAGACTCAGATCTCCTGCCTGTAGGATTAGCTCTATCTATTTGCATGTGTATGCTTTGTATTCACCCACATGCTGTTGCCTAACCTGTATGTACATGTTATTAATCTGTGAATAAATATTTAATTAGGCTACTTATTGTGTTACTAATCAAGTCAAGTGCTGCTTCCCACCCTCCCTCTTTCAGTGAGTACAAACAAACATTTATCAGTCTATTCTCATTAACACAACTATAATTTATGAAAAACCTAAAACGCCTGTAGCACTGTTTGCTGTGCATTATTAGTTTAGAGGCAGAGAAGTTGCAAGCCGTGGAGGGTATAAGACAATCTGAACAGGAAAAATGTTTCAGTTTTACTACAGCCAAAACTGAAATCCTGCTATTGTACTGAGATAAAAATGAGGTCAGTTAACTGGTTTTACTAATGCGTGGATATCTGCGTAAAAAGATTATAACTCATCGATGTTTGCCATTTAAATTCAAGCCTACTTTTTAAATATTGTGTTATCTGACAAGTCATGAGTTAAAGTTTGACGCTTCAGACATTGTCCTTCTTGTATGTTGTTATTCATACTTACAGGGACTTTTACTGTAGTTACACGGTAGCCCCAAGGAGAGAATAGCACTGCTAGGCTGCTATTAGACCAGAAGAATGATACCTGCTTCGGGGGATTTTTTTAAAGATCATTAAGCCTGCATTAAAGATCAAATGTCCAGTATATATATAGACAGAGCACATTACAACTTTAGGATTCAGTCTTCAAACTCCTGCCCATATACACACCTAATTTTCTTTGTGCGTAGCCACACAATTGCTGCTCATCCTGGTTTGGGTGATGGCTTGGATTTAGCAAGCAGGCCCAGTTTTTCCTCAAATTCTAATTTACATCATCCAGTTTACTGGAATACAGTGTTTCAGATCTGTAACAAAAGCAGTGTGTTCTCTAAAGATTATCCTACTTCTCAAATCCAGGTGCAGAGGGAATATGCTGTGCTGCAGCAGCTCTGCATGCTGCATCTCACTACCTTGCTTGTGTTGAATGGCCACTTCGTTCACCTGCAAACTGTCCACATCTCATGGGCATTTTTCCTTTTCTTATAACTCATACAAGTCGGGGGTTGGGGGGGAAGCTGGCGGACAATATGACCATACAAAACATGTTGCGTTTTTGTCTTTCAGCAAATCGCAGTCTTTGACAAATGCCTTCAGTTTCACAGAATCATCCTTAAAGAAGATGAAGCGAAAGCTGAAACTATTCGAAACTTGAGGAAATCCTTTGCTAGCCTTTTTTCTGATTAGCTGGCTTCATCTAAATGCACCCAGCACATAGTCTAAACTACATGAATGTTACATAGGTTTTGTTTTCCCTGTGACCGTACCCTTCTCTACTGTGCTAACTGTTGTATTAAGCAATATGTTAAACCTACAAAAAAAAAAGAAAAAAAGCTGAAACTATTCGAAACTTGAGGAAATCCTTTGCTAGCCTTTTTTCTGATTAGCTGGCTTCATCTAAATGCACCCAGCACATAGTCTAAACTACATGAATGTTACATAGGTTTTGTTTTCCCTGTGACCGTACCCTTCTCTACTGTGCTAACTGTTGTATTAAGCAATATGTTAAACCTACAAAAAAAAAAGAAAAAAATAGGAAGACTTTGATGAGACAGCATTCAGGAACTTGTATTAGAATCTATAAAGAAGGAAGGGTTCACAGAATACTGAATTCTAAGGTCCTTATCCATTGTAATATTGTGGCCTTACTGTGACTGAGCTATATAGCCCTGTTGGAGACTCCTGTGTAGAACTGTGTTAATAAAGCATTGAGAAATGGGTTTCTCCTTGCTCTGCCCATTTCCAATGCATTGCAATGCATGTGTATTTTGTGCGTAAATGTTTTGTACTGCAAAAGTATAGTCTTGACTTGTTCTTGCCTCCCAGATTTAGGAAGCAATTCACACTGACATTCTTGTCAAGCCACACAAATAATGTGAGAAATTGAAGCAGTTTCTTCCTCCTTGTACAATCTTCCCATCGGCTGGTTGTAGACTTCTGATGTATTGCTGAGAGTTATCAGTACACTAACTTAATGTCATAAATAGAGTGTATATGTACTACTGTATCTCCATATGTCTACTTAAATTTATTTCCAAAGTGTAACCATGATTGGGTTTAGTTGCAAAGAATATGCATGATGTTACCCTTATTTTTGTGAACACCTTCTAATAAATGTAAAGTCCCATGCCTGAGTTAAAGAAGTCTTCTACAAAGCTTGTTTCAGCATCAACATTCGTTGTCTATTATGTCTGGTATCAGAAGGGAAGCGTTATGATTATAAAATATTTGGACATAAACCACAGCTGTAAGAAAACAAACTATCACAAATTATTCCTTTTTGGAAGCAACATTATAAAAAAATTACAAATTTTAGGAATAATTTTCTAATAAGTTACGTATTTAAAAAATCTTTCTCCAGCTTGAGAATACAGAATTGGTCACAGACTTGGAGGTAATAGCAGCTTTTTTTTTTTTTAATTGCCTAAATCAAACTGAGGTTCATTAGTAATTGCTAGTCTACCCATTTCCAAATTATTATCACATCATTCTGCCTATCACAAATTGCATGCAGTTCCTTGCCAGGAAACAGGGGAAAGAAGAAAAAGTAACTGTAGTATTAGCACGTCTGAGGTAGAAAACAAGCAACACAGTGTTAACTTAAAAAACCCTATGGGATTTGTAATGAGTTTGTAGAGACCGAAATCTATTTGCCTCGGAAATCTTACTTCTTGTAGATCTGATAGTTCATGAAGTCTGGGGAAATCAGTCGCCATTTGGTAACGTAAGTCCTTTCCGCAGTTGTGGAGTCCTTTGGGCGAAGAGCCTGGCTTGGGCCGGGAGGTTGACAGTGAAGGATGGAAACTTTAACCTCCAGTGATGTCAGGATTCAGTTTGTACGTTAGCGTCTGATAGCTCTCTGTTTGTCAACACAGTCAAAGTTGATGATCCTAGCATATATATTTCCTGAAAAGCAGGTATGTCCAACGCACTCACAGGCAACACGACCGACACCCTTTGTGAGCCGACAGTGAGGACCGACTCAGGACCGTAGCTGCACAATCATGCCCAGAACAGCCCTTTCCTCCCGGTTTAGGCTAAAATGACCTCACGGGTAAGTTTGCACGGCAGCATTACAGGTGTTAAACGCATAGCGTTGCCCTCTATGGATGGATGGAATCTCAGTCCCTCTGATCGGCATGTAACCCCCCTCTTTGGGGAACAGCCCTCGGGGGACCCCTTTCACTGAATTAACACCAGAGCTCTTTTCTTTCAGGAGAAGCGTACTGTGTGCAGAAGCCTGGAGTTTAGACAATGAGTTCTGTGGCAAAACAGAATGTTTTAACTGTTAATAGTTTTTATTAGTTTACAAATATCAGCTACACACTGATTTTTAAAAGTTTTGTCCCCCTCCTGCCCCTCCATGGACTGAAACACCCTTCACTGGGCTGCAATAACAACCCCGAGCAGTTATAGAGCCTTTCATGTCTGAGAAGCACTTTACTTTTAGATTAGAAAGATTAATCAAAGTTGCCAACGCAAATTAATTACTGCTACAGAGAAAGCATAGTAATTATGCATAGTTTGGCATGGTTCATGATTAGTACATGCCTAGTTTCAGCAATATTTAGTGCAGTATGAATTACAGGTAGTTCATTAGTCCAGACCCCAGATTTCGACTTGAGGCAAAGTTTCTCGCTCATATAAAATTCCCTCCCACCTCTTCCTGGGAGAAAACGGGTTTCACTACAGTCTTTGTTTTACCATCTGGAACAAAAAAAAGAAAGAAAATAAAAGAAAAAAGAGAGCAAGATGATGCAATCAAATCTGCATGGTGTATCCTCCCACACAATGTACATAGCACATTGCCTCTCCGCCATGCCAAAACTTCTTTATACCTCCAAGCGTGCTAAAGCGTGTCACACGCAAGCTGATGCACGCTTATGTTTCTGCTGCAGCGTTTCACGGTTAAGACATTTTTAAGTAATCTATAAAACATCTCCAAAATAGCAATCAGAAAAAATGAGGGTTTATAAAAAGTCTATTCCAACATTTATTGTCCATTTTGTCTTACTTCATTAAGCAGATTGTGCCGTGAATTCCTGGGCAAGCTCTAAATGCCCCGTTATCCAATGTAGCCTTACCTAGGGCTGCGTAAATGGTGACGGAACTAATCGGAGTGTCTGCGCTTGTTCGCCGCTGTGAACATTAGCCTGGGAACATAAGGTCCGTACTTCGTTTGCACCTTTTCCATGGAGATGCAGCTTGTGATGCCACAGCACTCCGTCTCCACCTCTTTTTCATCTTCCGCTTATAAACCAGGATAAAGTGACAACTACAGAGCTACTAATCAAGTTTAGTCTTAAGACCGAGATGGAGCCATCTTCTGACCATTAGGCCTGAAGCCAATTCAAAACACACAAGCAGATTTCAAGAGATTATAATTATGGGCCAAGTGACTAATCTAGCTTTGAAACAACCACTAACTCTCCAGTAAGAATTAGTCAAAACAGTACTAAGGTACTCTGTAAATACTGTGTGTACTTTGTGTACTTCCTGCTTGGCAAGAACAAAGTCACTTCTCTGAGCCAGCCCTGGCGCAGTGAAGAGGTGGCACGCAAGGAAGCTCCCCTTTACGACACGGAAGAGGCCACGGCATAGTGCCTGTGCCTTGACGTGGCTCTTGCCAGTGTTTGGTTGAACACCACGAATAAACTTCCCGGCAAGTTGTCCATCAACGGCCGCTTCCAGTGAGGCTGGGTAGGATGCAGGCGGCTGGATAAGCCCAAGAGAGCTATCCAGTGCCTCCTTAGATCTCGTACCACGATGCCTATCCTGTAACCAGGATAGCCACACCGGGGATGGCAGGCATGACGCAGGATCTGTGGGAGACCTGGGCTACACTCAGATCCAGTTGGAGGCTAGGCGGGATGTGCAAAGGTGATCTCAAATGGCACTGGTTGCCCATGCTTGGGACTGGGTTTCCTCTTAGGTCTGGACGCTCAGCTATCTTACCCTTTGCAACAATTCAGGCATGGAGTAAGAGGCAACTTAATTGAGCGCTCTCTGGCTTTCTTCTTCCCATGGCAGAATAAAGCTGTCGAGCAAGACAGTGCTGCCAACGAAGACGCATTTGCAAATTTTGATCACTCGTCCAGTTTATTTATCCATACCAAAAATAACCAGAAGTGAATATTGACTCAGAGCAATTTCAGAAAGATGACCTAAACTGTCACATACACCAGCACAAAGGAATTTATGTTCTGAATGACATGTCTCTGACATGGAAATGCTTTTTATTGGGCATGCATTGCTAAACAAGCAATCTTTTTTCTTTTTTTTTTTTAAGATGCTTTAAATATCTCATATCAGAATTTTCAAAATAGGTACCTAAAATTAGTAATTAGTTTTCCAAATGCATATTCAGTCACGTAACTAAGCAGCCAAATTTGCAAAATCCTCATTTCCTCTAATTCCTCCTCATTTTCTAAGGAAGAATATTCCACCTTAAGATGATAGTTGAAGTCTCATGAAACACTGATTTGCTCATCTGTAGTTAGATTCTTGCAGCTCAAAAATTAATTCAAGGAAGAATGCAAAGAAAATTTAACTTTGTTAAAAAAATAGAGTTCAAATACTAACGTGAGTTCTTTATATTTCCAATAAGCCAAGAATGACAACAGAAAGCATATCCCCCTGTTTCACCTCAAGATAGCCTAGGAGTTAAAGAGATATGCTGGTGGGTTTTGCCCCACAGATTGTATTACAAAAAATTAGAAGGAGGATCAACTGAGATGAGGGGAAGGCAGATTTTGTATTTTTTACTGGGACTGGAGTTTTGACTTCCGTTAGCAGTGGCGCTGCTCAGAACTTCCAAGGCTGGATGTGGTGTTTTAAAACTGATCCACTTCACATTACTGGACATTTAAGTTTCCCTGTGCAGGATATATGTTGTTGGAGGAGAAGGTACCTGGCTGTGTGGCTGAATCTTTGTTCTATAAAAGTGATGGATGAAATGAGGTAAAATGTTAGCTAACCTGACAAGCATCAGAATGGATTCATTGGGAGCTAAACTCTTTACACATGGTTTTCGTTAGCACTTGTCTCTCCCCCTAACCATTTTACTTTACTCACATGTGCCTCTTCTTCTGACCAATCCTAATCAGCCAAATTCTGCTTTAAGGATTTATAAGCTCTGAGGAGTAGCTGAATTTTTGTTTAAGGGCAAGAGTGGTGGTGTTGTCTTGAGCTAATCCATGCTTTCTAACGCTGTGAAGCTGGCAAGTAAGTAGCAAAAAATGTAAAGCTGACTGTTCATATTCTCCTCTTGCTTTCTCAGCTCAGAATGAAATTTTACTGTAACTCAGAGCAGTGAAGATGATCAC